CCAGTTGAGCCAGTCTTATCTGCTGATAGGTCTGTTACCTTTTTTCCTGCTACCAGAATGAGATCAGAGACTGTGTCTGTCTCTTTCACTGCCCTCAGTGTCCGGCACCTTTTAGCACTCCGTGAATGTCTGTGGCATGAGTGGATGGATTGATCTCACCTCATTTACCCTCACCGCTGCCAAGGCAAAGCTTTTCTGAAATCTTCCCCTGCGCCTGAGCTCAGGGACTTCATGCCCCTGGTGGACCTTTCTTCCCATTTCTGCTCTCAAGGCTTGATGCAAATTCTTTTTTTTTTTTTTTTTTTGTTTGTTTCCAGCACCAGGAATTGAACTCACAACCTTGTGCTTGCCAGGCAGGCACTGTGCCGCTGAGCTAAACCCCCACCCCACCTGATACAAATTCTGCCTCCTCTTCCAGAATGTGATTTCTCCTTCCTTTGGTCTCTGACCACCTCTGCTGGTCCTTTCCCATGGACCTTTCTTATCTGAGGACACTCTGTCTTCCCTAGTAGATTAGAAGCACTGTGTGGGCAGGGCTCCCACCTGCCTCCTCCACAGACTCCTGTGCAGTCAGGTGTGTGCCGCATGGGGGATGACTCTCCTGCTCCCAGGCGACGTGGCGGCTTTGTGGTACCTTAATCCCCCCATTCCTGCTCCTTCTGCAACTTCCTGGGACCCCTTCACTTTGTGTGGACTCCCAGTGTCCTCTGCTTCCATCCTGTCCTTTGTCACTTCCTTCCTGTCCTTTGGACTCCGTGAAGGCTTATGTTCAGACCTTTCCCATCAAGGACCATGACAGGAGTGTCTCCAGCCAAGGACGAGATGCTCTCTTGGTGGAATTTTATTATTTTCTTCCCCACTCCAGACCTTCCTATGCGCTTTACATCTTGGCACACCCTTGCTCTGTGAGGGGCTGTGACCCGGACAGAGGCCAGTCTCTAGCCTCTTTGGGTCTTTTCCTGAGTACTTCAAGAATGGGCAGTTCCACACCAGTGCTGGATGCCTGGAAACACAGACAATGAGACCCAGGAATTACATGGGAAGACTAGAAGACTAGAAGTGGACCCACCCTCAGCCCAGTCCTGTCTAGTCTACCCGCTTGCTCAGAGTGTAAGGCGTCAGGCGTTAGGACATGAAGTCCATTCCCAGGTACCCACCAGTGTGCAGATTGAACAGTTGGATATGGGGACAATGGGGGTCCTTCCTCTCTACTCCCAGGCCTTGTAGGTGGATGGGAAGGGGCAGGTCATGCGCAAAGGGACTGCAAATCCTACAACAGTGGGTTCTGACTTTTAGGTTGACCAATCACATTTTCACCTGAAATTTTATGAGGGTGGCACAATTCTGTCCAAATGTATACCTGGAATTGGTTTGCTCCCCTCACTCCGTTGTCACTGGTGTCTTTCTGACCATCCTGTAGAAGCTAGGACCCACCCCATGCTCTACCAGGAGGACCTTATCCGGTTTTCAGAGTTTACTATCATTTATGATATAATAAGTGCATTGGCACATTTGTTTACTATTTGCAATGCAAACTACTTGCAGAGAGTGCTTCGTCTTTTTCACCAGGCCCCTCCATGTCTTTTGTGTTCGTTGTTAGATCCCTGGCATCTCGCAGGTGTCTGGCACACAACAGGTATCTATTAGGAAAGTGAATAGAAGTGAAGGAGCCCCTCCCCATCTCTTCCCCCAAGGTGGGACCTGAAGCTTCCTCCCAGTATCCAGCTTGAGGCCATGCAAGGTGGAATACGGCCCACCCCAGGAATTCCTCTGAGAAGCGCTAGCACCCTCAAGGGCCACACTAGTGCTTGTGTCCGGTAGTTCTTTCTTGGCAGCACCAGACAATTCTAATTGTGTGAGGTGACCAAAATCTCTAGCCTGGTCATGGAATGCTTTTATCTTAAATACTTCAGAAGTCAGCAAGAAATGGTGCATAACCCATTTTCCTATGTTCCAAAGGAGAAAACTGATGCTCAGAGAGTTTGCTAAAGTCACCAATTTACTACTGGTAAAGCCCCAGGCAGAATCTTGGTTTTCTCATTCTGAGTTCATTATTCTTTCTCCCGAGTCCATTTTCTCTTGTGTCTTCTCCTGGTAGCTGGAGAGTAATTTGCTCTATAGCAGGCTGCTTTTCTGAAGGATGAGAGAGGTCTGTCATATCTGCAACCTATGTTTGTGTTTTCTAAATATACCAACAAATTGCAAGCAGGACGTGATATCAAAAGTTTTGGTAGCTCAAGTACATTTAAAGATGCAGAAAAGCACCTCAGAGAATAGAGGTGTGTACCGGCTATCTATTGCTGTGTAACAAATTTCCCCAAAGCTTAGTTGTTTAAAACCACCAGCATTTGTAGCTCATGATTCTATGAGTAGGTAGTTTGGGCTGATACCCGCTGGACAGCTTTTCTACCTGCTCCCCTAACTTGCTCATATTGTAATGGCAACCGGGTCTCCAGGGGCTATTTGGTCCTGAATACTTTTACTCATGGCTGAATAGTGTGTGTGTGTGTGGGGGGATGAGTCACAGGTTTCCAACACCTAGCAGGGTTTCCTCACATGGTACCTGGGTTCCAAAGGCATCAAGAGAGGAAATGCCAATTGGCAAGTAAATTTCAAACCTCTGCTTATACTCACGGTTTCTAACACAGTACTTCAGCAGCCAGAGTAAGCCAAGCCAGTTTAGAATCAAAGTGTGGAGACATGAACTCCCTTTCTTGATGGCAAATAGTGTTGCCATCCCCTCCTTACCCCATCTCCCGCCAGGACAGAGCTCGATAGTGTCCTTCAGTATCAATGTGTGTTGGAAACACGATAACCACCCTATGGTTTGTCTAGTCTGCGGGCAGAGGTGCGGTGAGAGGGCCCAGAAGCAGCTTTTTGGTGGGAGAGAAGAGCAAGTCACCCACAGCCTCGCGGAATGCGAGCTGGGACCCTGAAATGCGTCATCCAGGCCCCAGAGTGGGCCGACCAGAAGGACCTTGAAGAGGAGAGCTCTGTAAAGTCAGGAGCTGTGCGGTGCTCCATCTCTCTGTCTCTCTCTCTTTCTCTCTCAGTATTGGATGCTGTTTGAGAGACAGAGACAGGACAGAGCCGCTCAAAACAGACTGGGTCAGGGCTGTGGCCTCTGCTCCTAAAAATAAAGCCTGCGAAGGCAATGACGGCTAATGCACCTGAGGTGGGGCCATAGGTCGGGCGGGCAAAGCTTTTAAATGCTGTTTTCTGTGCCGGGGACAGCACGGTGACATTCCCCCAGCTCAAGGGAGCCTGACCGTTAGAAGGCAGATCGCAAATCCAGACAGCGATGCTCTGAGCTCACTTTCCGACCCTGTCTGTCTGACTGAAGCATCATAATAAACTTCCAAATTTCTCCCCTTGGGAGGTTGCAAGCAGGAAACAGATTTTCACGGACAAAGCAGAGCCCCCGTGCTAGAGGGCGCGGGGCATTTTCACACAGCGGGCTCCGCCAACGTTTTCAGATCCCTCCGCCCGGTTGCGGCGGTGGACCTGGCCTAGGGCGGTGAGTGGCAGCGCCCACCGGGAAGATAGCGGGGCTGTCCAATGAGGTGAGGCAGGGACGCTGCTCTGAGGCCTTTTCCTTGGGCTGCAGACAAATTAAAAACCTCCTTGCCAGGCATTCATTCTGCGGAGGCCTCTTCCTCGCCCCGCGGGGGGCTGCGGCGCCGGGGCGGCCCGATTCCGGGAGGCTGGGCCTCCCGGGGTCTCGAGGAGGGGGCCCGCAGGCCTGCAAAGAGAGGCCCTTCCCGGAGGACACTGGCAGGCAGGGAGCGGGGCAAAGTGCAGCCCAGGTCACTGGGAAAAAAGAAGTCTCCAAGTAAGGGAGAGGGGGAAAGTTCCTCTTGCAGCCTAATTATGAAAGAGGCCTGGGCAGAGAGGGGCGGGAGAGCCCCAGGAGCGAGAACAGGGGAGCGAGCCGCGGCCGGGAGCCGAAAGGCCTTCTCAGGGGCACCGCGATCGGGGGGCGCAGGCCGGGGAAGGTGGCGCCCCTCCGGACGCGGGCTGCGGGTCACGGTTCCGAGGGACCTGGACGTGCGTTCGCCTGGGGTTCCCAGAGAGGGCGGGCGGACGCCCACGAAGGTGGGACGAATTGATCGCCCAAGGAAGCTCGGCACCGCTTCCCCCAGAGGCCCTCTCCGGTCCTGCCCCTCCGCCCTGGAGGCGGCAGGTGACCCGTCGGGCCCTGGGGCGCCTTCGTCCCGCGGCCCCGCCCCGCACCTGGCCGCGCGCGACGCGCTCGCCCTCCTCCCACGCCGTTCCCCGGGCTGGGCCCGCCGCCGACGCGTCTGTTCTCGGTGACAGCCGACGGCCGTGGAGACCTACTGTGCGCGAGCTGGGGAGAGTTTAGCCCGAACCACTTTGGGAAGAGAAGTTAGAGGGAGCCGGCCACGCGAGCAGACCCGCCGAGCCCCCCGGTGTCCCCCGCTAAACTCTAATCCCATCCCTCCCAGGCTCATTTAATTGTGCGATGCTCACTCGTGGGACGTCTTCACCACCTTCAAGACGTGATTTAGCAGAGGGAGGGAGGGAGACGGAGTGGGGAGAGAGGGACAGGGAGAGAGACAGACAGAGACGACAGAGGGAGAGATTAAGACAGGGACCCAGCCGCTGAAAGCTTTTGCCGTCACCAAAGTATCTGAGTCAAGCAGAAGAAAACTGAGAAGGTTGGGGGCGCCCTCCAGGTTAGAAAAAGCAACAAGAAGTAGCTAAAAGTTTTTGCTGAGTCTGAAGTATGTATTTAGCCCTTCTAGATTAATTACCCTGGGTTCTAAAAGTGATTCGCCAAACATCTATTATTCACATTAGTAGGATAGACGGTAAATCACAGTAAGATTTATGGAAACTGAAAGACTTGCACGCCAAAGGTTGATGAAAGTGTAATTTGAATCTTGAAATCTCTCTGCGCCGGCCCGATGTACACCGCGGGCTCATTAGGGATGCGCGCGGTGCCGCGGGCGGCGGGTGACGTCACAGCGGGTATTTAAATGGGCGGGGCCAGCCCGCTCGGCTTGTAATCCTTTAAAAATATAAAAGCCTGCCTGGTTCCTTCTCTGTCTCTCCAGCTGTAACAACTTCACCACCTGTCTTGGTTCCACCCCGAGGATTTCACAGAGAGAACACGGTAGAGGGAATCAGGAAGCAGAGAAAAGGTCACAAATAAGCACCTCAGGAACAATGAAAGCTTTTCTCTATGCAGCGGTGGGAGAGTTGCTAGAAAAACTGGAAAGGTATTAATCAGAAGTGGCTATAAATCCTCTGGAGTTTTGCTCTTATAAAACTCCTCAGAGAAAGTCTTGAAGGAAATGCAGGTCAAAGCCCAAAAAAGCTCTTGATCAGCGATTGCCGGAGGAAAATCTTCCCGGACGCCGTTTAATAGGCAGCAATCACCCCAGGAGTGGGGAAGCCAAGTACGCTTGAAACATGGTTGCAATTCCTAATAGGTCTTGTCACACTTAAGGCACTGCAAGCTCCATCCGACGAACAGCTGAAGCTAGCTGGTGATTCATAAAGCCAACAGTTTAAAGTTTATTATCATGAAAGCACTTAATGACAGCCATCGCTAGGGGCCCATCATTTATAAAGCTGTGCTGAGTATTAGACATGTAGCATGACCACCAATTTTATGTCACAATTGCTACCATAAAATGACCTTTGGTGATTTTTGCTGCATGTGGTGGACAGCTCTTCCTTCACATTAGTGCTCTGTGGCTTTCTTTGCAGACTATTATGCTGTCTAAAGCTTATTTGGCACTGTCGTGGGCCTCAACCCTGGTTATTACCCCGAAGGCCTGTCTTAAAAAAAAAAATCGCGCGCTCTATTACGCCACTCCGATAATTTACAGTTCTTACCAGCCTTGGGTAGTGTAATATTTTAGCGCAAAGATGCTTTACCATTGCAATGTAGTAAATTTAAAAAGTTTCTTTGCTTCTGGCTAGTGAATTCACTGAAATGTGCCTCTTATTCCCTGGTCAGGTCTCATTGAATGGGCAGTTTTCTCTGGTCAGCTAAAATGTTGCCAGGAAGAGAAAAAAAAAAAAAAAGATTAATTAAACTTCCGGTGAGAGAAAATTTTTTTAAAGATGCTATGTGTGATAAACCCACCTCTAGCAAAAGCACCAGTTCTTATTTCCCGGCATCCGGTTCCAATGCAAATTTACATCTGAGTAACATTATTTAATTAGGCTTCCATTTGTCAGCCTGCTTTGTGTAGTTAGAACGTGTTTGAATACACAGCCACTTTCCTGCTCCAATGTAAAGCACTGCTGAGAAAGTGGCCTGTCCATGCTACACCACCTTTAAATTGTGTATATAATTTTATAAATGATATAAAACCTGCTTCTAGTCCCTGGGAAAAAAAAATGCAAGCATGGCACACTGCAATTTTGGAAGGATTTAAAATATGTGATTTCTGCTGGTACCTACTGTATTGGGTTTTATATAAAGCTTTTTTCAATAAGGTAAATTGTTACATGACAAACTCATCTTCCACCATTATCATCTGCTGTTTGTGTTTAACAACAGGAGTCCCGCTCTAACAAAACTGTTGTAATGGCTGTACAAATTACTCAGCTGAAAGCTTTTCACCAAACAAAACAGTATTAATCAGCAGTTCTTATGAAGGTGCTAATTAAAAACAATTTTCTTCCTCAGTTTGCAATACTAAAGCCATCTTCACTTGCACAGTTTCCAATATACAGCTACTGTATTTGCTCACACATCAGTCCCTCCATTAACTATTGAATCTCCTATTAGCCATTTTATTACATTTCTGTTTACAAGCTTGTTGACATTTTAAAAGTCACAGTGTGATCTGTTTTATCTATTAAAAATATATTAATTGAAAAGTCAGGGACACAAACAAACAAAGAGGCAAAATATAGACTCCAAATGCACAGACTTCCAGGACTGAGAATACGGTGAACATTCGCCCCAGCCTGGGCAGTAGGCTCTCTGGGTACAAAGAAATCTGAGAATTAAAAGTGGTATTTCAGGCCTAATAGTTCAAAACCAATAGGCTCCTTCCTAACTTGGAAATGGTCCAATCAGGAAAAATTTGCTCTGTCTAAAATTAGTATGACTTTCAAATCAGACTATGGCATGTAACCCAGCATAATTATGATGTTTCACATTAGTCTGAAGTCAGAAAACTTTGATGGGAGTGGGGAATGGGTACCTTGAATCTGGGAACTAGAGGCCTAAGCTGGAGTTTAACCAGCTTCGGTGTGTGTGTGTGTGTGTGTGTGTGTGTGTGTGTGTGTGTATGTGTGTGGTGCGAGCATGCATCTACATGTACTTTGACTACCCCCCAATGTGGACTGACTGCCCCTCTCCTCCCGAGTCCAATGAAAGGGTCACGTCAGACAATACTACCCAATTGTGGAGCATAGATTAGGAACAATTGAATTGCTGACTAAGCACAAAGACAAAGTCTACGGAAGCCGGATTGAGGAAAGGCAACAGTCCATTCCTATTAAAACAAAATAAAAAACAAAAACAGCCAGCCCCTAGGAAGAAGGTATGCCCTACTTCGGGAGTGGGGCGAAGGAAAAACAACCGCGCCACCTCCTGCCTATGGCATTAAACCAGGTTCTTCAACTGTCAAAAGCAGTTAACTAGTTTAGGACAGACACCTGGCTGTTGAAATAGGGCTCCAGAGGTCCACTAATCCTTCCTTTCACTCAGTTAACTGCTGGATCCCCCAAATTGATTCAACAGGTATGCCGTGGTAAATTCAGCCCATATTGAAGCCAAAGGGAAAATCAGCAAGGGGCGGGCAGCTCTTCTCTGAAAACACCCGAGGAACCAGCCAGAAAAGCTTTTATGGCCCCGACAAGTTTTCTGCTGAATACTGAGCACCTAAATTACCCTTCCCTAATGGAAGTTACATTTTCATGCTCAGTCAAAAAGCCAACAAAATACACAATTTATACAAAATAGCATCAGCCTCTTAGGTAGTCTTTTCTAGCACTTTTATCCCAATTCACAGCATATGTCTTGCTATAAAATAAAATATATTTCTTATAACCAACTTGTATGTAGCTGTTCATATCACTGCATTAGAACTGCCCGTGGGTGATATTAGAAACATTCTTTTACCCAACCAAATCTACTTAGTAGGACAAAGGAAAATGATGAGTTCTATCAAAAGATAAAGGAATACAAAGAAGAGAAGCATCATAAAAACTCTTATGATTTCCTGGGCTGACAGGCTTCCTTTTGAAATAAACACGTGCATAATTACATGGACAATTACGGGATAGGCCACTTCAGCTGCAATTAAATAACCCAATACCGATGCTTAGAAATAACCCTAAAATTCAAAAGTGGATAAACTTTTTAGAGTTGCCATATTTTCCCTTTCTCAATATCTATGTTCTGATAAAATTTGCAAAAGTAAATAAAAATCATTCAATAATAAATGGCGTTAGTTTTTTAAAAACTTTCAAAGACCCTGGGCTAGAGATTTTTCTAGGTGAGGCTCCCATGAAGAACAGGTCTATGAAATCCTTAACATTTCACAGGAGAGTCCTTAGGTTTTAACCACATCCATACGTATATTTCTTTATCTGGTATCTCTTGCTACGACTAGCTCAATTCTGACCTACTGTTCTCAGATATTTTTTTTAAAAATACATTAGTGGTTTATTTTTTAAAATATAATTTTGCCCAGAGAAATAAGCTCTTGGTCTCTATACTCACAACACACGAATGCAAGTTGAATTCTTGTAAATTCACATATTTTCATGAGAAATAAAAGGAAAAATTCTCATGGTCCTGCTGTTCTATATTTAAAAAGGAAAAAAGAATAGATCATCTTAGGTGTTACAACAGGGATGGGCTTTCTTTGGCAGATTTAGCCATAGGTTTTACAGAAGAAATAATTTCCGCTGTATTTGCATCAGTGTAAGTGGAACTACTTTCACCGCCTTTAACAGCATTCCAAATTCTAATTTTTAAACAAGAAACTATGAAGCCAGTGTGCAACCTATCCAGTCGCCAAAGGAGAGCTGCCACTAGCTGAACTACTCAGTTAAATGGCTGGTTTGCATTGCCCTGGTCTTTTCTAGCTCTGAGAATAGACTGCTGTTTTATCCAAAGAGGAATAAATTGCTGTTATTGTGATGTTAGCCCATCACTTGGCATTGCAATTCAAGTTTTTGTGAGAAAGAAATGTATGATCTAACTGCGACTTGACCTATGCCTTCTGAGATCCATCTAGGTGCTCTAATGGAGCAGAAAAAGTGGTGAATACAAGGACATGCAAACTGATGGTGAAAAATTTGTTCACGGATAGAAGGGAGCAGAAAAGACATTTGAGAGTCCCTATTTTTATGGCAGCTAAGTTTGTTTAACATGCAAAAGATGAGCTCTCCCAGGCCACCCCCCCCATCGCTTTAATTGCATCTCACAGAATACATGCTTTACCTCTACTAAAGATGTGAAGGCATACGGCTGCCCCACCGAAGGACATTACCCCCCAAGTGGGACAGATGATTCCTTACAGATAAACACCTGAATTTCCACAAAAGGTGTTAGAGTGTCTCGGAGGCAGGGTGGGCTTGGGTTCCCTGCAGAGAAGTAGTCTTTTCCTCATCTTAGGGAGCACCTATGAAATGTTTCCCACGCGCTCCCATCAAAGCACCTAGTAATATATACTTATTTTAAATAAGATAATTGTGTGATTGAGTTTTTTGGGTTTTTTTTTTTGTTTTTTGAAACTCCCCCTGGTTGCAACCTAGTTTGTCAACCATTTATTCAAAATTTCTCTGGGAAGGACTTATTTTGAAAGAGGCCTGGGGAACAGCAGCAGTTAGATTTAAGCCCTCATAAAGGCTCACTTTTCATTCATAGTCAGAGCCTAAATGTGCTCTTCTTGTACCTAAACAGATAATAAGCACTCAGCACACTCCCCCTCCTTGACACAGCGCACTGAGACTAATCACACATAATTGGAGAGGAGGAGCAGAGGGCTGGCCATGCTATTGTGTCCAGAGGACAAACGGTCAGTTTATGAGGCTGTGGTCTGATGTAGTCATTTCTTATACCTCTATAGGGAAAAAACATCCTGTGTAAATAGGAAAAAAAGAATGAGAGAGAGAGAGACAGAGAAAGAGATGGCAGATTTAACACAATTGGAGGGAGATCAGAAAGATGGACTTTATTTGTTTTTTAACCAGGAAAGAGTCAGATGATTTGCTGTGTTTACAGATTAAAAACTACCACCACCAAAACAGAACAAAGACCATTTTTAAAAAGTGTGTGTGTGTGTGTGTGTGTGTGTGTGTGTGTGTCACAAAAAAGAAATTCTGTCTCAGTTAGAGGAAAAAATATTTAGGTTGGTCACAAATCAATTCAAATCTCAGACAGGCTGCTTATACACACTTAAAGACAACAAGGGTTTTCACGGAAATGCGACAGACACACAGAGTGTGAAAGGGGGAAGCGGGGTGGTGGCAGTGGCTGGGAAGTAAGGTAGGTGAGGACAGGTGGAGTCCACAGCCGCACTTGGAATGTCACGAGGTGGGGGAAGGGCGAGTCCTGAGGGCTTGAGGAGCTCAGGGAGCCAATGGTTTGCTGCATATTACACCCATTATAGACATTTCTGTTTCTGTGAAAATATTCCCTGTGTGTTTGGTGTTTTCTTCTTTGGGGGACGCTTAATCTTCTACCCATTTTTAGTTAAAATAAGCATAAATGGGTAATGAAGGTTTTCTTCATATATGTCCGAGCTTTCCTTTTTCAACTGAAAATAATAATAGAATAAGAAAATGGTTAGGAGACTCAGGTTAGGAATATTTACAAGTCAAAATTAATATTGATTATAATGTGACAACTTTTCACCTAAATACATAGTTCTGGAAAAATTCATCACAAAAAGTAACCCAGAGTAGATGTCAGTGGCATTGACACAATACCGCACACTGAGATGGGAATCTTTTGTAGTATTTTAGATGACGGTAGAGTGTTTTTTCATGAGTACCCAAACTGCATTTGTAACGGAAGG